TCCCGATTTCCGATTCCCCTCCCCCACCTCCCGCTCCTCCGTTCTCCAGGCATCAGCCCCAGCAAACCTTTGAAGACGTACACCTGAACCTGGCAGACCTCTCAGGGTCCCTCCCCACTGCGGGGAGGAGAAAATCCCAAAGCCTCCTCATGTCCTGCAGGGTCACCCAAGGTCCACCTCAAACTTCCTCTTTCTCTCTGTGCCCAGCCATGCCAGATTTTTCTTTCCCAGAACTCACCATTTTTTAATTAATTTTTTTTGCTTGCTAACTTTGCAGCATGCTGTAGTTCCCGCTGCCTGGAACAGGGTCAGCACCACCGGCGCCCACCCAAGTTCACCTACCTATCTCCCCACTGCCCAGGGCGGCTCCTCCCGCAGCCTGCCCCCGCCCCCAGCCCGCCCTGCACTTGACCTGCCCCCCTGTGCATCTTCTCTGGGGACTTGTGCCCACCGCTCAGCCCCCCACTGGCACACAGTAGGCGTTCTGTAAACGTCTGTTCAGTGGCTGGCGGCAGTTTCCCTGAGGGCGAGAGTGAGGCAGATTGGCCCTTTGCTGCCCAGAACCTCGGGCTTTAAAGAACCCTGACACCCCGCTGAGGCCCCCTCCTGGGATGCAGCTGCGGGGGTGGGGGGGGCGGGCAGCGAGAGCTCTGCTGTCCCGCAGAGCCCACTCTGGCCACTCCCTCGGGGCCCTGTTCCCGCCAGGCCAGGGTGGGGCGGGGACAAGGTTCTAATTTATAAGGGGACACTGGGTGTTCTCCCAGGTTTGGAGACCCCCCTTTTTTGGGGGGGGTGAGTCTGGGGTTTCCAGTGAGCACTCCCATCAGTCCCCTTCTCATCCGTGCCTCGAAGGCCGGGAACCCAGCGCGCGGCGGGCTCCGCCACCTGCCCGCTGGGGGCGAGGCTCCAACCCGCCCTGCTGCCGATCTCAGTTTCCTCGTCTGCGTGTCTGCGAGGCTGGACTGAGAGCAGCGCCTGCCTCCCAGAGCTGCTGGGGGGGCGTCAGCAGGCCACCACGACCTTTAGTGCACACAGTGCCCGGCCCCCGCGGCGCGTGTGTGTTTTGGCGTCGTCGCCCGATGGGCAGGGCCCTGGGGAGGCCCCAGTTAGGCGGCCGGGCTCCCTCTCTACAAAGAGCCGTCACCCCAGGAATGGCTCCCCAGATGCCACGCTTCTTCAGCTTTCGTAAGAAATCCCTGGAGGTTTACGTGGTTCGTGTCCAGTCATCGGCAGACGTCCAAGGGCGGACTGGAGGGGCCACGCCAGGCCCCGGAGGCGCCTGTGGGATCAGTAGCACCCACTTCCTGTCCCCATGAGAACAGACACACCGACATGATAATTCAGGGGGGCACGTGGCAAGGCGGCCCCCAGCCGTGAGGAGGGGATGAGGGGACCCCTGGGGTCGATGGAGGGCAGGAGGTATGGGAAGAATGGCCACAGACTCCCCTCGGGGTGGGGGGTGAGTTTCGCTGGGGAAGCCGGGCTGAGGGCTGTGGCGAGAGAAACTGGGCATGTGTTGCCCCAGGAGACTGAGAACCCCCTCCTGGCGGAGGTGGGGGTGGGCGAGACAGAGCCCCTGCGCTCCGGGACGGGTGGGCTGTCCGGGGGAAGAGACAGGATTCCATGCCCCTGTTCCACCCTGCTCCCCACCCCCGGCCCCTGCCAGAGCCGAGGCGTCCAGGAGCCTGCAGGAGGTGTCCTGGGGAGCGCCCTTGTCCTCGGTCCCTGCAGCCTGCGGATTCCTGGGGGGTTGGGGTGGGGGTGGCGGAACGACGGATTGGACGTGGTCACTGGAGACGAACTCTTCAGCCTGGGGGTCAGGACTGCATCCCCTCCCTTAAGCTTCAACAGAGCCTTTTTAAAGGGGCGACCCTCTGACCTCCAAACGGTTCCCCCACACCCGCCAGCTAGAAGCCCCTGGGGCAGGGGCTTAAGGAAGGAGGGCTCCAGAGGCCTCAGCTTAAATGCAGATAGGAAGCCAGGAGTCCCCCGGGGGCAGGAGAGGGAAGCTCAGCCAAGGCCGGGAGCCTGAGTCAGGTCCTTGGGAGTGCAGGGCCGAGATGCGGGTGCCTGGCCCAGGAGAAGGGAGGGGGCGACGGGCGAAGGGTTCAGCGGAGGGAGCAGGGGGGACACCGGGAGTCTAGGACGCAGGGTGGGGGTAGGAGGGCGAGGGGTCCGGCCAGTGCAGGGGGGGCGCCCCTGGGGAGGGGCACGCTATGTCTTTAAGAGCAGCCTGAGCGCAGGTTGCAGCTGCCTGGCCAGCCCGAGAGACAGCGGAGATTCATTACCCGCCGACACAATGACCATTGATGGCCCCGTGGCGTTATTCAAATCCAGTACCAATTGCAGCCGAGCCCCTTTCTCCGCGCCAGGCCCGTATTGTTGGAGCGGCCCACTAAAAGCCCGCCCCGGCCCCGAGCCGCCAGAGGCGCCCGCTGGGGTTCAGCCCTGCGCCTCGCCAGCCCGCCGGCTCCCAGCCCGGCTCACCGGGCACGGCAGGTGACCCGGCGGTGCATTCCAGCGCTCCCTGCCGCGCCCCGGCCACCGCCGCCACCACGACAGGCGCCCCGGCCGAGACTCAGCCACAGGGAAGCGGAGAGCACCGGAGCCGGTGCGTGCGCGGGGACGGCGGGGGCGGGGACCCACGAGTCCGGCGGTCCCGACCCGGGCTCGGAGACGCCACCCGGCCTCGGGCCCCCGCTTTCTGGATTCCTGGCGAGTGCGGGAAGCCCAGGCTGGGGGTGGGGAGAGGGGAGTCGGGGTTCCCCGGGCCTGACGGAGATTCCCCCAACCTGGGGCCGTGCAGAGAGCCAAAGCGGGCCACTTGAGGGACCCAGGGCCGCGACGGAAGGAGATGCACGCCGGGGGGCGATGGGGACTCCCCGAGCAGGGCCGGGACCCGCGTGTCGGCCCCTCCACCTTACCGCGGTACGGGCCGCATCCGCTGAGCGTCTGCTAGGCAGTCGGGCGCGCAGCTCCGGAGGTCTCCCGGTCCCCCGCTTTTAAGGAGCGAGGGGGAGCCCCGTGGGAGACCGGGGGCCCTGAACTCAGGGGCTTCGCCACTGATTGTCCAAACGCAATTCTTGTACGAGTCTGCGGCCAACCGAGAATTGTGGCTGGACATCTGTGGCTGAGCTCCGGGCGCAACAGGGGCGGAAGCCGCAGGGACCCAGCTCGCGAAGGCGAGACCCCTCGCTCGCTCGGAGCGGCGGCTGGCTGGCCCCAGCGCCAGGATCGCGGCGGCCCGGCCGCGCACGAGAGACACCGGTGCGCGCCGCCAGCGTCGCCATCCTCATCCTCGTCCTCGTCGTCTTCCTCCTCCTCCTCCGCGGGTGACCAGTCCTGGCCGAGGGCGTCCTCCAGGCGATCGCGGTGTCCCCCCTTTTTTCAAATTTCGGCCGAAACGAAGCTGGCACGCCGCGGCAGCAGGGCCCGAAGGGGGTCCCGGGAGCCGGCCCTTGGGCCAGCTGCAGGAAGTCGGAGCGAAAGGAGATGCCGGCGGAAGGCGCTAACTCGTTTTGAATTGGTTCTCACCTAGCCCCCCACCAATAACCCCCAAAGAAAAGGCCTAAACCGACCCCCTAGATCCCCAATAAGCCGACCCCTCCGGCCAGCCCCTCCAGGGGGGCCCAAGGGCAGAGCCTCCTGCAGCCGCCGCGGCCGGAGCCGAGCCGCGCGGGGGACGGTGCGATGCAGCCGGGCGGCCGCCTCGGCTCCGGAAACCGAACTCGGACAAACGAACCCTTTTCATTAAAGACAAATCTTCGGAGATGGTGGGACTTATTCGTTTATTTCCTCACAGGCTGGGGGTCAGGAGCTGCCCAGGGGAAAGGGGCAGCTGGGCGTCACTGGCGCTGAGGTCAGGTCACCTGTCCCTGACCCTTCTCAGGCTCAGGGCTGAAAATGACCCCGAATGCTGTGGACCGTGGCTTGGCGCTGCCGCCTGCACCCCCTGCCGCCCCGGAGGCCGCGGCTTTCCCGGCGCATCCTCCTGCCCTAGTGCTCAGTCTTCACTGGGGTGCAGTGGGGGGGAGGGATATCCTGTCTCCAACCCCCGGGCCCCGGTGCAGGTGAGAGACAAATCCGCTGGCCCAGATCCCAGGACCTGGAATCCTGGGAGGGACAACGAGCCCCTCGGAGGGGCTGGAGGCAGGGGAGACGTCCGGGTTGCAGGGAGGCGGTGAGGACAGGCTGCAGGGGGCCGCTGCAAGCCCCTCGCTCTGTTCCCTAAACTCGGAAGCCCTGACCTCGGCACGCCGCGTGGGCTGGTCCCACAGCTTCTCTAGACCGCGTTCCGGGTCCCAACAACGCCTCCATTTGCACCCAGACCGCCTCCTACCAACAACCCCAGCACGGCTGCCTCCACCCACGCGGGGCCCGAGGGCCTCCACCTGCAGAGCGAGCGCCGGAGAGCAGCTCGTCCGCCAGCCAGGGTGCAGCTGGCCCCTCGGGCCTGGAGAGTGCCCAGCGCCACCACCGCCGCCGCCAGCACCGCGCTGGGGCACCCAGACCAGCATCTCACCCCCACAGAGCGAGAGGAAATCCCACCTCAAACGGCCGGCCGATATTTAGTGACAAGCAATGTTCGGGGCAAGATAATGTTAATGCCCTATTTTTTTTTTTTTTGAGGTCTCCCTCCAGCAAAGAAAGCTTTTCTCCAGGTCACGGGGAAGAGGGGCTCAGTGGTCTTATCCACGTCACCCCGTTGTGACTGGGGCTCTGGGGCTGCTGGCCGCGGCTGGCGGGACAAAGCCTGGCCTCGGACAGACGTGTGACAGACTGTGTGTCCTGGGACCCCCACTGGGCTTGGCCACCCCCTTCTCCGGACGGCCTGGTCAGGCTGCCCCCTCACAGTCGGGCGAGGGTTTCGACCCCTGCCCTTTTCTGGGTGAAGGGCGGCTCTGAAAGCCCTGGGTGCAGACGGAGAGAGTGGACCAGAGGCCGTGGCTAAGGGCATGTGGGATGCCTCTGGTTTCCAGGGATAAAGCTCCAGGCGAGGCTAGTAAACAACCCAGTCTTTTATTTGCCCGAGGCCAGCTGTTGCAGGCCCTGAGGAGGCCCTGAGACTTCCAGAAGGGTGGAGGGAGGAGGGGTGAGCCGCCCCGCCTGCCCAGGTGCTGCTGCCCCAGCCCTGCTTCCTGCAGGAGGCAGGACGGGAGAGGGAGCCTAATCTGTGACGTCAGTGTCACCCACGTTTTCAGACACTGTAATTCATCAGCTGTTGCTGAGGAGGAAACTGAGGCACACTGACCCTTCCAATGCCTCTGACAGTCCAAGGTTAAGCTCATTCCTTCCTTTCCAGAACGGGCTGCAGGCAGCCTTTTGCTGGGGGAAGGTCGCAGGAGCCCATCTGGTGGCCTGCTGTGGGGGGTGGGGGGGTGGGCGGGGGAAGGCCAGCCAGGGTCAAGGGCTGGGGATGGGGGGAGCAGGAGGAGGGGTGTGGCTGGAAGAGCAGCTGCTGGGTGGTGGGCAGGGGGTCAGCACTGAATAGGGGACCCCAGCTGGGGTTCCACAATGACATCAGTGGGGGACAGGCAGAGCCCTCTACTGTCCAGATAGGGAAACTGAGGCGGGGACGCCTCCAATGTCTGAGGAGGGAGGGGCATCCCACCAGCTGTTGAGGGCCATTCGTCTTTCCCACGAGGCCACTATGACCCGGAGCTGGAGCGCCTTGTCAGTGGTCACTCAGTGTCTAGACGGAGACACAGGAATGGAAGGCAGCTGGATCACCTGGCCCCAGGGCCCCCCTCTACTCTTGGCAAACCAGAGGGGCACCCTCCCCCACCTCAGCTGCTGGGAGAGGGAGGGCTGGGCTCAGGAGCCCGCCCGCCCGCCCGCCTTCCCCTGCTCATGTGCCTGCGAAAGGCTCATTTTAGCACCTGCCCTCTTTTCCCTGCCTGGAGGGAGCTCAGGGGACAGAGCAGGGAGGAAGGCAGCCGAGGGGGACAGGGAGCTCCGGAAGCAGGGTCCGAGGGGAGGTCTGGTCGTCCTCCCCGCCCCACAGGGGGCCCAGGCACAGAGGGGGGGCCCTCAGCCGCCGTGCAGCGTGGATATGAAGAGGACGCTGTCCTGGTCCTGAAGCTGGTAGTCCAGCTCGCCCTGGTCCAGGGGAGAGAGGAGGAGGGTGCCGTCAGGGCCGTTCTCCCTGTTTCAGCCCATGGGCCGGGGGAGGGGAGCCCCTGGCTGCTTTGGGGGAGAACCGGGTGCCCTGTACTTGAACTTGCAAACGTCCCGGATGGAGGATGGCCCACCCCTCCCCCTAGCTCCCCTCTTCTCCCTCTCTCTCTCGGGATGGGAGGCTGAGCAGCCTCGTAGGCTAGAGCGGCACGGGGAGGGGCCGGGGGAAGGGTGTCCCCAGGTACTGACCAGCAGCTCCCAGTCGGCATCGTTAATCAGCACCAGGATTCCTGGCCGCCTGCGGGAAAGACGGGGGGTGAGCAGCAGGAGGGGAAGGGCAGGGGGCAGTCGCAAGGGCAGCGAGGCTGAGACCTCTGGGCTGCAGGAGAGTGTGACGGGAGCCTTCCCCCTGAAGTTCCAGTGACAGATGTCCCAGGAAGTGGAGGTGACAGTCCGACTCTAAAGCAAACCTGGTCCGACAGTCATGGTCGTGGGGACAGGTGGAAATCCCAGCATCCCTGCCTCCCTGCCCCGGGACCTCAGGCAGGTCCTTTGGTTTCTCTGAGCATCAGCGTCCCCAGCTGGGCACAGGCCAACGACAGGGCCTCCCCACAAGGCCCGCGCGAGGGTGAGCCGGGATGGAGGGCAAGGGGCTTGCTCGCCTGCGTCTGCGGGGGCACCCGTGGGTAGCAGCAGTGTGTTTTCCCAAGGGCCCGTCTCAGCTCTCCCACCCCAGGGGCGGTCGACGGCAGCCCTGAGCAGGGAAAAGCCACAGAGCAGCCATGCCCGGTGTGAGGGCCGTGCCCAGCCTTACTGTCTTCGGGGGGTGGGAGGGTGGCCTCCATGACTGCTGGGCCATGGCCTGAGCCAGGGGCTGGATGCAGCCTCAGCCCCCAGGACGTCCTGGTGGCCTCTGCTTCCGGGCAGATGGACAAGCGCACTCTTCGGCCGGCCTCGTTGTAGAAGTCAAGTGACTTCTTGCACACGGAGCCTGGCTCCTTGCCGAGGGGGCTGAGCTGGGCCGGGCCTGGGGCGGGTGAAGAAGCTGTGGACGAGGGTAGGGGTGTCTCCAGAGAAAGGGAACGATGTGTGTGTGCACGCACACAGTGACCCCCTGGAATCCTGGACCTCTGCTGTCCCAAACGGCAGGGCCCCCAACCCCCAGGCCCTGCAGAGAGGACAGGTACTGGTGGAGGCCGGACAGGAGCCAGGCTGCACAGCAGGAGGCGACCGGCAGGCCAGCCAGGCCTCCGGTCCCTCCCCACCCACCCCTGCCCGTGGGAAAACCGTCTTCCACGAAACCAGTCCCCGGTGCCAAAAAGGTCGGGGACTGCTGCAGCATGGCATCTATTAGCCACGCTTAAATTCAAACTTAAATCACCTTTGGATGAAACTGAGTATTCAGTTCCCCATGCACACTGGCCACATCTCCAGGGCTCAGCAGCCTCTCGTAGCCGGCGTCCGATTACCATATTGGACAGCACAGACACAGAACACTTCCATCATCGCGGAAAGTTCCGGACTGTCCAGGAACGAAAGGGACCTTGGGCAGCATCTTGTCCTCAGTACTTCTGAACAGAGAGAGTAGCTGAGGCCCAGAGAAGTAAAGTAACTTGCCTAAGGTCCCACAGCAAGGTTGTGGCAAGCAGAAGGAGGAATCCAAGTTTCCTGAGAGATGTACCAGTTCCCTGACCTGATGTTTAAAACATTCCCGACAACCCAGCATGGCAGCGAGAAGACTGAAAGCTCTTTTGCCTCAGAGCTCGGGGGAAGGCAAGGAGACGAGGGCCCGGGGCAGGCTGTGGCCGGCTCGGAGATGGGGCTCGGTGGCCCCCCCATCCCCCCCCTAGGGCAGGGCAGAGGGGACTCACACACTGTCTCCTTGGAGGAACAGCTCCGGCCGCTCCTTGAGCAGGTTCTTCTTGATCCAGACGAGGAGGTTCCGGAGGTCCCCTGGGGGGGAAGGCACAGAACACAATGCTGTGAGCCCGGTCACTCCCGACCGCCGGGCCCTGCCTGCACCGCCAGGAAGCGCCCGTGGGGCTCAGGGGCCCCTTTAGCCAGAGCTGCCGGGGCCCCTGGCCTTGTGGACTCCTGAGGCGAGGAAGGAGGTCAGCAGGGCCAGTGACCTGCCAGAAAGGTCTTCAGAGGAAGTGCCACCTAGCGCTACTGAAGGCTTGGAAAGGGACCCAAGGCAGACAGCAGGAGGCACTGTCCCATCTGGGGGGGCTGGGCGGCAGACCCCACTCCCAAGTCCCGGAGGGCGGTCTGCAATGGCCGCATCTAGACAGGCTGCCGGAGGCTCCTGAGGAGCCCCGTGAACCCCCACCTCCCCGGCCAGCCCCGGGCGGGGGGTTCCGCTGGACTCCTCAAAGGTCTGCATGCACTTCCCTTCGCCAGGGAAGAGCAACAATCGCTGAGCTGAAAACATCGGTTAATTCCCCCAGCAGAGGGGGAGCAGGGTCCCTCACCAGCCAGAGAGCTGACGAGTTGCTGCCCCGTGGGCCCCCCTTTATGGAGCCCTCTCCCACCCCGGGGCTGTGGGTGCCGCCCCGGATAGGCAAGAGGTTCAGGGTCACAGGGCCTCTGCTGCTCCCCTGACACCGATAGCTGCCACTTTGTGGTTGTGGGACTGCCACCAAGCTCCTTGCACATCGCGTGGAGGCTCTGGGCCACCTGTCCCCAGGGTCACCTCCCCTTTCCCAGGAGCAGGGTCCCAGGGCACAGCACACCGACGCCTGGCTCGGGAAACTCCTGGAGTGCGACGGCTCTCAGCTGCTGCTCCTCGAACCGGCCGCCTCCTGAGGCCGTGGGAGTCCCTTCTCTCCCTGCCGTGACTGGGGGACTGAGGGCCCTGGGGAGACAGCTGGTCTCTGAGAAGCCAGTGGGGACCTCGGGACTGGCCACGCCCACCCCGAGACCTTGATCTCAGGCTGAGCTGGAAAGGGCCCCCAGGGCCCTGGTCTCTCCACCCAGAGCCCGAGTCCCGGCACGTGGGGGAGAGAAGGGCTGCCCGGGCAGAGAGAGAGAGCACCGGTCCTTCCCGGGCCGGGCCCAGGAGCGTGTCACGCGCGCAGGGCCCGCCTCGGGCAGGGCTGCAAGACGCCCTCCACGGCCCGCACACCATCCCCGGAAGGCAGCGCGGCCGCACCCTGGACACGACGGCTCCCTCTGCTGTAGGCCGACTTCCCTGGGGCGCCAGAAGAGCGCAGGGCCGTGGGCAACGTGTCTGTGGACCGAGACGTCACCTTTCAATTTTAAAACCTGCTATTAACACGGAGCAGGCCGGGGCCTTGTGGTCCCCGGAGTGCAGGGCGCGGGAGAGCTGCCCCCCGCGGGCTGCGGCCCCTGGGGCCTGGGTGCCGGAGGCTTCCCCGCGGCTCCCTCTCGGCACTGTCTGGTGGGCTGCCAGCCCATACGTCTTGGGGCCGCTCGACAGAGCCGCCGGAGTCTGGCGCATCCATCAGCCCAGCCTGGCGGGCCGGCTCTGCCCGTGTGCGCAGAGGCGCCGAGAGGGACCGGGTGGCGCCCGGCCCGAGGGCCACCCGCTGCCCCTGCACAGCCCTGGCCATCCCGAACAGAACCTGACCCAGCTGTGTTAAAGGGGGGGCCGCTCTTCCAGTCTGGACGAGCGGGGGGTGGGGTGGCCGCTGGTCACGCTGGGGTCACCCGAGCCTCGGCAGCATCACGGAGCCCCGGAGGGGCGGGCTGGGGGCGAGTCTGCTGCCGGTGCTGGCTCATTTATCACGATGCTCCTCTTTGCTGAGGTCATTCCCTCCCTCCTCTGCACCCCCCGGGCCTGCCCACATTCTTGATAACCTGTTACCATGGTGAGGCCACCACATCACCATCCTTATTGTTCCCCCATGCCTGGATTTGGGGGTGGGGAGGGAGGGGACTCATGGCAGGCTGCGAGGGCTCCTAGGCCTGGCCTGAAACACCCCCCAGGGACATCTTGCTGGGCTTGCTGAGGCCCAGACAATATGCAAATGGCCTCCAAGCCAGATGGTCGGCTTCCAAAGGCACCCAGGGGAGGAGGAAGGGTTAAGCAGAGTCAGGGGCTGGTGGCTGAGGACGGCTCCCTCCGGGGAGTCTCCCTTTCACCTGGCCCCAGTGTCCTCTGCCTCCCCACCGCCTCAGAGGGCGGGTTTCCCCTGGAACCCCGTGCAATCACTCGTAAGATGAACGTTTACTGAGCAACTACTATGTGCCAGGTGCCAGGGAGATGGCAGTGAGTGAGAGAGACACAGAGCCCACCCTCGTGGAGCTGACGTTACATATTTAACTAGTTGTGACAGACGTTATTTCCTTTGCGAAGGATCAGAAAAAGCTTTTCTGAGGACGGTAACCTCGAAGCGGAGGCCTGAAGGGTGAGCAGGGAAGGCTGGGGGAGCGTTCCAGGCAGAAGGAAGCACGCATGGGAAGACCCGAGGCTGGAAGGGACTGGCAGCTCCAAGGTGACAGAACAGGGAAGGCCAGGAGACCAGCATGAGCGGCAGCCAGCGCCCAGACCCCCAGGGGCACGTGTGGGCCCCGAGGGGCCTGCTCGGGGAGAGACGCCCCCCCGCCCCGTGAACCCCACAGGCATTTGCCAAATCTGTGCTCCGAGGGCGCACAGCCCACAACTGCCCGGGCCACGCTCCGTGTCTCTCTTCCCTGATGTGCGTGCCGAGGCCAGTGCAAACACACAGCGTCGCCAGCACCGGGGCGCGCTGCGAGGACCCGGCACTGGCCATGGTGCACGGCACAGAGGCCCAAGCGCAGCACCTCAGCCCCCCCGCATTCCAGTGACAGGGCCTTAGGTGAGGCACTCCATGAACCTCAGCCTCCTCCTTGCAAAATGGAACTGGTAAGAACGTCTCGTGGGGCGGCTGTGAGGAGGGAACGAGATGGCCCCTGCACAGCTCTCGGCACTGTGCTGGCGTACCGCCGCCGTGACTCCCCGATGATGCAGAAAGGAGCCTGTGCCTTCTGCCTCTCCCTGATGCCCTGCGCTTCCACACTCTGCCCCGGGGCCTGGCACCCCGGGCACGTGCTCAGCCCAGACTGCTTTGGAGAGTGAGGTAGAGTCAGCCAACCATTAACCAGACAGTGCTGGGGCTGGCTGGGGTTTTCTGTGGGATTCACTAGCTTTCCACCAGAAGCTGCAGAGCGGTTGGGAGAATGGTGAGGGGGCCCCAGACACTGGCCTTCCCTCTATTTCATTTCTTTATTGGATCTGTATAAGAGCTTATTTTTAAAAATTTATTTTATTAAAGATTTTATTTGTTTCTCTTCAGAGAGGGGAACATCAATGTGTGATTGCCTCTCACACACCCCCTACTGGGGACCTGGCCTGCAAACCAGCCATGTGCCCTGACTGGGAATCGAACCAGCGACCCTTTGGTTTGAAGGCCGGCACTCAATCGACTGAGCCACACCAGCCAGGGCTGTGTAAGAGTTTATTTGAGCCAAACTGATGACACATGTCAGGACGCAAAATCTCAAAGCCTCCTCTTCCCTCCACCTTAGAGGTTCAGACCCTTCAGACGCTGCCAGGACAACCCAGCTGCAAGGAATCCCATCCTGAGGCGGTGGCTGCTAGAGGCCAGAGCGCCCCTGGGCACGTGGCCCCAGAGGAGGCAGAGGAGCACCCTAACACAAGGTGTGCGGGGCGGGAAGCCTCGGGGCCTGGCCTTCCGGCCTGAGGAAAAGCAGGTGATGGGAGCTGCTCGCCACTCTGCTGGAGCGGCTGAGGGCTCGGTGTCTGGAGGCGGGGACTGGCGCTAGATGGCCTCGAGCAGGAAGTCACTTCACCTCCCCGAGTCTCAGGGTCGTCCTCCAACCAATGGGGACAAAAGCCGAACCACCTTCGGGCACGAAGCCAGCAGCGGGCCCAGCCCGCACAGCGCCAGACGCTCAGGACCCACACGCCCCTGCGCCCGGTGACTCGGGGCTCCTTGTCCTCTGGGCTGCCGGAGCCTAAAGCTGCGGGCCGCGGGGCACCATGCACGCCCCTTACCCACAGGCCCCCTCACCCCAGTGGGCTTGTCCGTGTCTGGGAACACTGGCCACCCACTGCGGCAGGGCCCCCCAGCGGTGTCAGCCGTCGTTTCTCAGGCCGAGGGAGCGATCTCAAGGTCTCATGTGATGCTAAATCCTCGCTGCGACAGACCCTCAGCCCGCCTCTCCCTGCTCGCTCCAGGGAGAGCTCTCCTCTCAACGGATTTCCAGAAATCCGTCTTCCTGTCATTCCCACCGAGCCCGGTTGTCCCACGGGGACCACGCCGACACATGTGTCCCCCCTTCCCCAGGCCTGCCCCGCAGATTTGGGGGAGACAGATGCCAGGCCTCCTGAGTCTTCTCTTGCGTGGGTTAAACCACGCCGGTCCCCACCACGTCCACTGGCTCCATCCACGACGAGGCTCTCCCGGGCGCCCACCCCGGCCTCAGTTGAAAGGGAGAAGAAAGAGCCGGGGTTGGGGGGTGAAGGAGGAGAGAGGGTAGAGGGAACATCAGAGGGCCCATTTACAAGTGAATGGGGGCAAGAATGGAGCAGTTTGTGGGCTAAACTGGCCTCAGAAGGAGGTTTACAGATTTGCGCAGGGACGCTGCTCATTGTTTAATTAAGCAGAAAGTGGATCTTTTCAAAAGCAATTTTGCACAGGGACTGGGAGGGGTGGGGGGAGTGGAGGGCGGTGGGGAGGGGATCAGCAAACAGGCCCCAGAGCAAAGAAAGGAACAGCTGGCCCCAGAGAGGCTGTGAAATGCATGCTAAGCAGTTTAAAGCGCCAGCCCGGGAGCTCCCTCCAGCTCCTGCCCTCCCCCGTCGGCCACCCTCTGACACAATGGCAGGGCAGGGGAAGAGGGGCAGGGAGGGGGGGGCAGACACGGCTCCGCCTGGGGGCCGGGGCAGGTAGTGCCCACGCTGGGGCAGCCTGTCCCCCGAAGTTCCAGGCTTGTCCCAGGCCGCTGGCCAGGCCTGGGCTGCGAGCCTTGAGACGAAGGGGTCCCTGAAGCCTGAGCATTAAAGCCCGCCGCCCGCGGCCACAGCAGGCGCCCAAAGCGGGTGGGTGCCCACCAACTCCAGTCAGCACAACCGAGGACAGGGCCTGCTCCGGGCAGACGGCTGTCGAGGTGTCCCCTACGGACACGACGGCCGCCTAGGGTCAGCACGCCCTGCCTCCCAGAGCTGTGCGCTTGATTCAACAGCAACATTTCCGAACTGGGGGTGGGAAACAGACAACCAGCTCAATGAAACGAAATCTAGCCCGACCTCCCATTTCACGTATGGGAAAACGGAGGCTCTCGAAAAGCAGTGACTTGCTACATGGCCTGGCCAGGACTCCTCTCTTGCAGTCTCACCCACCGTGGCCTTGGCCTTGGCTTTGGCCTTGGCCTTGGCCGTCCTCTTTTCCCAAACTGGCTGGGTTGGAAGCCCTCCCCTGGCCCAAGACCCAGGGCCCTGGAGTCCCCTTGTTCGTCAGACTTGTGACAATCCATAATCTTACGGCTGCTACTTTCTCCGCTGGAGCCTCCAGGACCTACTTGGCCAGGGGCAGCCCATGGGCTGGGAAGGCTGCCAGGCAACCAACCGATCTGGGCACGGGCTTGGGGGAAGACTAAGACGCTCCTAGCGGCAACTGCGGGGCTCCCGTGTGCCAGGGTCAGGCCTGGCAGCTGCCAACCAGCCATGCGGCCGTGATGTGACCCAAGCCTCTGGGCACAGCAGGGCAAAAATGGGGACCAGAGGTAGAGTCACAGCCAAGGGCCCAAAGACCAAGCAGAAAGGCCCGTTCAACCACCCCCCTCCTTCCCTTTCTTGCTTCCCGGAGAGGGGAGGCAGGCCCTGGCCGCCCTGCAAGCAGCGGAGGGAGGCTGAGGGACCACAGACCTGGTTGGCCCCTGCTCCCCAGTCACTCTGGGCAGGTCACTCCCTTCTCTCTCTCTCCCTCTCTCTCCCTCTCTCTCCCTCTCCCTCCCCCCCTCGTGGTGTCCTCGATGGTGGATGTGTCTACTGGGGTCATTATGAAAATCGGAACAACTAGCTGCTGAAAGCATGAATATAAATGAACAAAAGGGTAAAACCTGGAAGCACACCCCAAGCGTGCGATGGCACGTGACCCGGGGAGCCTCCCGGGCCAGCGGTGCCGTGCAAGGACCCCGAACAGAGCCCCTGGAGTCTGGTTCTGAACCCCAGTTCCACCATCTACACAACCGTGTGGCTCGGAGGAAGGTCCTTGGCACTTGGGTTTGGACTTCCCCTTTGTAAAACGGGATGACAGCTGCCACCTAGGAACTTGTGACAATGATTTTCGCACCCAGCTGGGGCCTCGCCTACCAACACTGAACTCAGCCGGCGCCCCTGGTGACACCGGGCTTCTTCCGGTCCCCGGACCACGAGGGCTGCGTCCTTGGCCTGGAGCAGGCCCCAGGCACCTCTGCTGTCTCCCCAGTTTTATGGGGCTGGCTCCCTTTCATCCTTCAAACGTAGCCTCCGGGACACCGCTTTAAAGAGGCCTTCCCTTGCCCTGGCTGGCGTAGCTCAGTGGATTGAGCGCGGGTTGCGAACCAAAGTGTCACAGGTTCGATTCCCAGGCAGGGTACATGCCTGGGTTGCAGGCCATGACCCCCAGCAACCGCACATTGATGTCTCTCTCTCTCTCTCTCCTTCCCTTTCCTCTCTAAAAATAAATAAATAAAATCTTAAAAAAAAAAAAAAGAAGCCTTCCCTGACCCCATCGCCTGGCTCCCAGCACCCTCTGCCCTCCCGCCAGCGACCCCACTCACACAGCCGCACTCCTACTCGCCGCCCGGCTCCACTCCCATTACGCACGGGCTCCACACGGGCAAGAGCTGTGTGTTTCACTTGGCACCAAACACCCAGCAACCAGCACGGCACCTGGCACGAAGGAGGCACTCAAAGATGTGCTGACTGCAAGGAAGAATGAAGGACTGACTTCCACAGCTGGCATTTGGTAAGCATTTAGCCAAAGAATGAATGAAAAGGGCCGGAATGATTAAACCTGAGGATGTATGTTCGTGCAAATGCACGATGCAGGGGGAAGTTAAATCATAATTGTGATATTTTAATCACTTCTCAGGCAGATCTTTAAGGATGAATCTTTTTTAAAGATTTGATTTATTTATTTTTAGACAGAGGGGAAGGAAGAGAGAGAGGGAGAAAAAAACATCAGTGTGTGGTTGCCTCTCATGTGCTCCCTGGTGGGGACCCAGCCCACAACCCAGGCATGTGCCCTGACTGGGAATCGAACTGGCGACCCTTTGGCTCACAGGCTGGCACTCAATTCACTGAGCCACACCAGCCAGGGCTTTTTGTTTTAATCCTCACCCAAGGACATTTTGTTTCATCGCTTTCAGAGAGAGAGAGGGAGGGAGAAAAACGTTGACATGAGACAGAAACATCACTGGGTTGCCTCCCACGTGCGCCTGGACCAGGGGTCGTACAGGTCTACCCAGGCCAGAGATCAAACCCACAACCTAGGTGTGTGCCCTGACTGGGAATCAAACCCACAACCTTCTGGTTACCAGACAACTGAGCCACACTGGTCAGGGCAAGGCTGAGTCTTTGAGACGTCTTCTGAGGGCCCCTGCTCCCTCCCGAGGCTGGGTGGTCCTCTGTCAAGCCGAGAAACAGTCGCCTCTGCCACCCCAGCTCTCACCCCACCAAGGACACACAATCCCGCGGTCCTGACATCTACAACATTTAACCTCAGCCTCACACCCACCACCAGCTGAAGGGGAGCAGTGCCCTGTTCCTTGGAGGGCGTCCACCGGCGCCTGAACGGGGCACGAGGACCTACCCTGGGTGCTGCTCTCCAACCTGAGGGAGGGCTGGACACAGTCCTGGCGGCCAGTGAGTGTGGCTGCTAACGGGGCACTTCCTGGCAGATGCTTATCTAGTTCCAGAAGAATCCTGTCTGACCTCACCGTCTTCCACCGCCCGCCTCCAGGAACCTCAGACCCCTGCCTGCTGACCGACTGCCTGCCCTCCCCCCAAGCGTCTCGGCCCGAGGTGAGCTGGGCTCGCTGTCCCGAGGGTCCTGTGCACTCGTCTCTGACCGGCATCGCTGCGAGGCGCGAGGTGCACCCCCGTAGCTGGGACGCTGGCCCACGTCCACACTGCACGGGTGTTTACCCAGCTGGACCTCCTCACCACCCGCCCCCCCCCACCCCCGCCGCCGGCTGTGAAGGCGGGGCTGGCTCTCGCCCACGGTTCTGTCCCCAGTGCCTGGTACACGGTCTGCCACTCAGGACGGGCTCAGTGTCAGCGTGTTAACCGAAGATGAACGAGTATTTGAACGGACAAAAGAAGAAAGCCCACTGTCTCCTTTAGTCAACCTCCCTCCTCCTTTTCGACTGGAAACGTTCTCATCTCAATAGTCTCACCATAACGTGAGCCCGTCCGCACTGTTCCGTTCTCGGAGAAGGTTACCCTCCTCACGAGAACCTCTCTCTCTGCTGCCAGCTAATAGTAACAGAGATGCTCTTTCTAACAACCCTGAGGGAGGGGGACGGCCGTGCCCGAGTCTCAGGTAAGAACGCTGAAGCCAAGAGGCGAGGCCCCTGGCCTAAGGTTGTGAGAGGACTCCCGTTTGAGTCTGTCTGAATATAGAGCCCACATTCACAGACTGAAGTTCACTACCACCCTGCTGGGACTGGCTGGTCCCAGGGAGGATCGGGGAAGGGTACTCTGGTGACTTCTCTTCCTCCCTGCCTCCCTCCCTCCCTCCGGCCAGGGAAACCCAACCGTTCCCACTTGGATGGGGCTGAGTGGCCCCGCACACTCCTGGCCCGTGGCCCCCGGGGGCGGGGGCGGGGGCGGTCAGACAGCCCATACTCACAGGGCTCCTCCTGTCCAGGCAGGGTGATCTGATGCTTCTTCACACCGTCGAACAGGAGCTCCGCGCCGCCCCTGCAGAGGAGGGCCAGAGAAGGACAGCGGGTCAGCTCCCGCAAACACCTCGCTGGGACTGAAAACCGAGGGGGGGCCTGGAAACAGAAGCCCGAGAGGTGCTGGAATCTGAGGTCTGGGAACACCTGGGGTCCCACTGGCTGATTCTCAAACGTGACTTCCCGACATGGTGAAGTGGGATAGGAACCGTTGTTCCCAGTAACCAAGTACCCAAACTCGCAGACTTTTGCTTCTGCCCCCCTGCTTCCTCGGGAGGCAGCTGAGCACCCGGGTTCGGGTTCGGTGCTGTCGGCCTCAGGGCGGAGCCCGGCCGCCACCTCTGCCCGGCCCCTGGCCCCTAGGCTCGTGAGTCCACGTTCTCGAACCTGGGGTTCCCTCTTGCCAGGGGAGGGAGTGGAATGTCCCTGCTCGTACCGACCACCGCCGGTCTGCAGGGCACACCGCAGGGCCAGGGGGTGAGACTCCCCCTGCGCAGCACCGTGCAAGCCCGTTCTCCATCTCACTTCACCCTCGGGCCGTTCCGGGGAGGGCGGGAGGGGAACAGCCGTTGTCAACTCCACACGGTGGAGAAGCATGGGTTTGAAGAGGTTACGTGACTCGTCTAAGGTCACAGGGGCAGTGGCTGAACTAGGCTTTGGATTCTGACCGGTGTCCGCTCAGCCCCAGGGGCCTTGGCAGAAAGGAAACCAGGACGCCCCGAGGCCAGAAAGCCCCTTGAGGGCAGAGTGCGGTCCGCTTGTGTGTGCGCAGCACCTGGACGGGGGAAGGCGGATCCGGCAGAGACGCTCGCGGCCAAGGCCAGCAGCCAGGGCTTACGGCGGGGACACCAGGGCTCATTCAGTGCCCCGCACGGCCTCTCCCTCGTGCTCCCCTGACTCCGTCCCAGACCTCACGTGGCCCTTAACTGAGAAGGCCTTAACAGACTCCGGCCGGGCGCGAGGCCTCCCGCCCCACCGCCCTTTCCCGACGTCGGGGAGCAGAGATGTCCTGAGACGGTCCACCGGGGGGCACAGGGAAGGCAAGCACTGTCACGGGGGAAACATGGGGCGACTGTCATCCGAACAAGGTCATGCTTTGTCGACGCAGAAATGCGGAGGGGGCGAGGAGGCCCATCTGTGGCTGTGTGCGGGGCCGTTTCAGCTGCGAGCCTGCACAGAGCCTCCATTTATCCCCTTCCAAGGGCCTCCTTCTCTCCAGGGTGGGGGCTGGCACATGCAGCAGCTGGGTGGGGGAGGGCCACAGGCGAGGGGCTCAGGAGTTGGGGGTCAGAGAACAGGGGTGGGAGCTGGAGGCACGGGGACCCAGGCCAAACCTGGCGGTGCCAGGCTCGGAGGCTGAAGCTGTTTTCCCTCTACAGGCAGATGAGGGACCAGGGGGTGACCTGCCTCAGACAGTGACCTGTCACCACTGGGTTCACTAGCCCCCCACGAGAGGGTTTCTGCTGTCAGCACATCTGGACAGGAGTGAAGTGGACACCCAGCCCCTGGAGTGATGCAGGAGGGCAGGCAAGGGGCTTGTTTTGGCCCCAGAAGAGAACCAAAGCTGAACTCTTTTATTTTATCACCTCCTTGTGTTTTTAGGTTTTTGTTTCTTTCCTCGCTACCTGCTGGGATGTGAGCTCTGCCTGAAGCAGGGCCCCACGCACAGCAGGCACCCGATCTGCCACGAGCGAAAGTGCCCACCCCTCCCACTTCCCTCACTTCAACGGCACTCCCTCCCTGTGCCAGCACCTCCCAGGCTCAGGAAGGGGGGAACGGGAAAAGAAGGAGGGAACCTCACGTCTGCACCGTTGGGGAAAAACACATTTGTACTACACACTCTGAATCCCGTGTGACCCGAGGAAATGCCCCGCTAAGGACAGCGCAGGGGGTGAGACAAAGGAGGGCAGAGTTGGTCACTGGGAAGAGCGAGGACGGTGTGAGCGGTCTCCCGAAGGATCTGTCCCAGCTGGCGGGGCTGGGAGGACGCCTGCTCCGGGGACAGAGGCCGGGTCCTCACCAGCCCCTTGAAGGGTCAGGGGACCAAAGGGAGAGACTGACGTGCAAGGCAGCTTCTTCGCAAACCCGTTCAGGTTCAGAGCGAGGGTGAAGGGAGTCTGCTGAGAGACGTACGGAACGGAAGAAGGGCCGGGGACAAAAACACGCGTCAGGTCAAGGATGGGGAGAGAAGGAATGTGGGTTTGCCCTGCATCTTGGGCATTCCTGCTTCCTGAGAAGCTGGGATTCTCATGAGACACCACAGCAGGGGGGGGGGGGGTGGCGGTGGGCAAACGGGTGGAGGAGCGAGGTCGCCCTGCCTTGCCGGAGCTCACTGCTGCTCTGGGGAGTCTCGAGCAACAGTGAGGCTGAGGCTGGAGGTGGCCAGGGCAGAAAAGGGGTAACTAAGCTGGTCTGCAGCTCTGGGGCGCAAGGACCCTCTCTTCCTCACGTGAGTTCCTTACTGCTGCCACCGGACAGAAGGCATTTCTGATGAACAAGATACCACGTCTGATGCAGCGAAATTGAAGAGTAAGCTGGGTGTAGACAAACCTTAACCCTGGCAGTCTGCAGCTTCTCCCTTTCCAGCTCTGCGGAGGCCTGCCAAAGCACTGGGGATCCTCCCAGCACCTCCAGGCGCTGGGGGCCATGGCTGCGCCAAGGGTCGGTAAAGCAAAAACAGTCAGGAGGCCAAACCAGTATGGTTCTAATTAAAGTCAATTAAAATGCACTTAATATTCATGAGACTACCCCACTTCTCAGGGACAGAAACGCTGAACACTGGGAAACATAGACAGAGTTCTATTTATCTTTGTGTCCTCAGTGCCTGGCTCACTGCCTGGCACATGGTACGCACTTAATAAATGACTGGTGAATAAACTACCCAATGAAGGGAAAGCACGAAAGAAACTGGGGGTACCCAATGGAAGAAAAGGCATTTAGGGACAGAGGTTTTAGAGTTCCCATTCCAGACTTTTCTTTTCACAGAAGCCTAGGCTTGTTTGTCTTTTCACACACACACACTCACACACACACAAGCTTCCATATGACTCTGGAAATGACACCACCCATCTCTTAGGGTCTTAGTTTCTTTTCCTTCTGAACTCCGCGGTTTCTCTCAGCTCCAAAATCATACATAGGCGAAGACAGTAGCGGCTTGAGGAGACATTCTCCCTGATCTGCGTTTCTTCCGTTACTGGTGCGCGCCCATTTCCCGCACTTTCCATCTGTACTGTCAGGGTGGGTCCCCTTCACTGTGCTATCTTATTATCCCTGTATCTCCACGGCTGCGGAGGGCGTTCAGCACATGTACTGACGTCCTAAAAAGGGCTCCGCTCTGTTTCACACCCCCACATCCTGCGAAAGAGAAGAAAGGTGTCTCGTCTTGGCCACACATCCCACGAGAAACAACGCTTCAAGAACCTTGGAGGTAGACTTGCTGCCCAAAGGAAAGCATGAAGGAGTTGAAGGGTGGTCCTTCTCGGTTCGAGGAGCTCAGGTGCCAGGCTCACCAGCCTGGTCCAAAACGGGATTGGCAAAGCAGGTAGAGAGGCCGCCTGCTAACCATCCCGCCTTTGGAGTCCGGCAGGGCGCGGGGCACCGAGGAGTGCCCAGCCCGCACTTCCACAGCCGGGCGTGCGCCTCTATTCCCGGACATACGGCCTCGTCGCCAAAGGAGACCGAGCCTCTCAAGCTCTCCGAGGCGATGGCGTCGCTCAAAGAAGGAGCCGGAAACCTCGGAGATTCGGTCGTGACAGACCCCAAGGCAGAGGGAGAGGAGTTCCGGGCCCCAAGACTTCCATTCATCCCCACGGCGCCCCCAACTCTCTGACTCACCCGAACTCCACCTCCACTGATAAGGGCGCTGCCATGTTGAGGAAGCCGAGCTTGCAGGAAACTCCCCTCAACTTCCGGTGTCCCCACCCACTTCCGGTCACCTCAGGCGGAAGAGGCGGGGGCTTCCTCAGCTATTGGAGACAGGCCAGTAGTGGGTATCTGAGAAGGGAGGTTCACGGGCGCTGTGGGGGGCGTGCTTTGGTGGGCGTTTGGACTCAGTCCCCACCTTTGTGTTTTAGAGACGTGGCTCGGACCACCAGGACGGGCAGTAACCTGTTCGAGCCTCAGCTGGGCGGAGGGGAGCCCGCGGCATGTTTGAGCAGTGAGTGCGAGGCTGGGCTGGTTTTCTTGGAATAATTACAAACTGTTTTCATTCGGCACACCGCTTGGGCGAGTCCGCCCGCCCCTCCCAATAAATGACCCCTAAATCTTTATTTCGAACTCAGAGACCTCTCTCCTGAGCTGTTGACTCCTGTCCAACCCCTCCCTTCGCCGTCGGCTTCGATTTCACTCATTCTACGGATATTTATTGCAGGTTTTCCGTGGGCCAGGCATCTTGGTGGGTGCCGTGGGCGCAGTGGTGCACGGGGTGGAAAAGGCTCCTGCGTTAGCGCACTCACAGTCTAGTGGGGGAAACTCACTCTGACCAAATAAACACCCCAGCCATAAACTGTGAAATGTAAAATCTCAAACGGAAAGAAGCGACCCAGAGTAATCGGAACACAAAAAGAAAACAGACTGGACTGGACTGAGCTCTGAAGCCTGAGTAGGATTAACTAGGTCGATGTCAAGGAGGAGAGACTTCTGGGAGAGTTCCAGGGTGGAGAACAGAAGGCGCAAAGGCCGCGGGTGGGAAGATACGCTGGATCACCAAGACAGGGAGGTGCGGACTGGGGAGCAGAGGGCCCGGTAAGAGATGAGGCTGGACAGGAGGGCAGGCACCAAATCATGCCTTGTGAGCCAGGTAGGAGTTTCAGTCTTGGCCCTGGCTGGTGTGACTCAGTGGATTGGGCACCAGCCTGAGAACACAGGGGTCTTCAGTTTGACTCCCAGTCAGGGCACACGCCTGGGTTGCCGGCTGGGTCCCCAGTAGGGGGCATTCGAGAAGCAACCACACTTGGGGACGTTTCTCTCCCTCTTTCTCCCTCCCCTCCCCCCTCTCTAAAAATAAATAAGTAAATAAATTGTTAAAACATTTAAAAAATGTTTTTTTAAAGAAAGAATTTCGGTCTTGGCCCTGACTGGATACTCAGTTGGTTAGGGGATCCTACCGATATGCCAAGGTTGTGGGTTCGATTCCTGGTCAGAGCACACACAAGAATCAACCAATGAATGCATAAATAAATGGAACAACAAATTGATGTCTCTCTCTCTCAAGTCAATAATAAAAAAAATGAAACATCCTTTCTGCCCACAGTGTGGAGAATGGTTTGGAGGGGAACAAGGAAGAAGACAGGGAGACCACGGGAGTCCATTACAAAAGCCCAGAGAACAAAAGGAGTGGAGTGGGTGACCCAGGGTATCTGAGCCCCAACACTTTTAAAACTGAACTCCATGTTGGTAGAGTGTGGAGGGGCAGCCCGGTGGTTAAGGGCAGAATGATGTCACGGTTAAAAGGTTGGAGTTCAGCTGCGAGCTTCATAATCATTCCCCTCACCTCCTAGCTGTGTCTTTGGGCGAGTTGCTTAACATCTTTGTACCTCAGTCTCCTTATCTGGAAACAGCCCCTACTTCAGAGGGCTGTCCTCGGGTCTACATGAGCGTGTGGCACGGCGCCTCTCCCTACAGCAGGGTCTCACGTGTGTTGCTGCCACCCCCCGAAACACCCGACCAAGAAGGCTTGGACGTGGTTCTTAATCTTGTCCTACAGCCAGCCACTGAGGTTGGATTCGTCTCCCTTCTAAGCTGGTGTCGCCACCCCACGTTCTTCCAGCGCCACCCACTACCCCTCGCCTGCACCTGCTTCTTGCCTGGAGGCCTGTCTCCTACCTCCCTCTCCGTGGCCTGGGCTTCCTTATACAGTCCGACTGCATGGACAGTCCTGAGCACGCTCTACGCACCAGGCACTGTTCCAGGGCACTGGCAAAATGAGGACAGATGTGACGCAGCCCCGGTCCTCAAACAGTGCAGAAGAATCATGTGCCTCACAGGCCCCGAGTTCACCACGCTGGGTAGCGTGGTGTCACTTCTGTAAGAACGTTTGGGACCAAATGATCTCTTAAGGTCCTTTCAGCAAAAGTAGTCTAAGATTCTGCCGCTGCACCCAGCTTCCCCCCCAGCAGAGGCCTTGTCTGATTCGTCTGGGATTCCCTAGCTCGTACTGTACATGGTAGGGGGCTGGTAAGTGCTTGCTTGCGAATGAATGAATGAATGAATGAACAAACGAACACATATCACTCCACTGCTCGACATCATTTAATGCTTTCTTTTTGTTAACAAGACAAGAGCCTTCCTGGAAGGCATGCAGAGCCCTTAGAGCCTCTGTTCCCAGCCCCTCTTTTTATGTTGAATGTCCTCTGGCCCTGGGAACTGCCACCTCCCAGCACTGGAACCGGAGAGCTGGGGAGTGTGTGCACAGCTTCATCCGTCTGGCAAACATTCACTGAGCACCTATTCAGTGCCAGGCCCAGGGCTGGTGCTGGGAACACAATGGTGAACCAAACCAAGGGGGTCCCCGCCCTCCAGGGGCTGATGTTCTAGGGCAGGGGTCCCAACCCTTGGGCTGTGGACCTGGACCAGTCCCTGGCCAGTGGGGAACCTGGCTGCCCAGCAGGAGCTGAGCAGCAGGCCGCGGAAGCTTCACTCACGTTACCGCCCAAGCTCCACCTCCTGCCCGCCCCCCCCCGTCTCCCCTCCCCCCATCCCCTTCTTGGAAAAATTGTCTTCCACAAAACCTGTCCCTGGTGCCAAAAAGTTTGGAGACCGCTGTTCTAGGAGACACAGATGGAAAAATGTAAACAAACAAACAAACAAACAATGGACCACACAGTGCAATCAGTGTTATGAAGGGGGAACGTGGCAGGGGTGGCCGTGGGCAGCCTGTGGGAGCCGGAGGTGGCCCCTAAGCCAGCCCTGGAAGTCGCTTCTAAACCCAAACCCAAACCCAAAGGAACTGTGGGAGGCGGAGGTGGGGAGGGAGAGGGCACGGGAGGGCCAGAGGCATTCCCTCACTCCCAGTCCCCACAGGCAGGGGCCCTCCAGCTTTTCCCTGCACAGCCCGGGAGACTGAGCTACCTTCCGGGTAAACCAGCCCACCCTGTGAGTGCCTGGGTCTCACCTGCTCCTGAGCCTACCCCACTCAACCTTTTCATTAGTAACAGTAACAGTGTATCCTTCTATTCCTTCAAGGAGTACATATTGAATGCCCACTTTGCACCTGCCAGGTGCTTTGCATGCATTACCTGAGTGACTCCTCACAGGTTATTATCCCCATTCTCCAAACGAGAAAACTGAGGCTCAGAACCAGCAGCTCGCCGGTGGGACCCCTTAATGTCAGGCCCAACCGCAGGCTGCGTTGCCTTAAGAATCCCTGCCCGCTGTTGGGCCCGGCTCACCCTAAGGCCTGCCGCTGGGATCCGCGCAGAAGAGGGGCTTGGGCCCCATTCCCCTGTCCCTTCCAGCAGGCTGGCCAGCCCGGGCGGCGGCCACCATCCCCTCAGAAGCTGCTAGGGAGACAATGGTGGGGTCGGCGGGGGGAGGCGAGGGCGCGGCGCCCCCCTGCCCGCTGCCCTTTGTCTTCCCGCCTGCTCCCCTCGTGCGCCCCGGGAGGCTGGGAGGCGCCTCTCGCAGGCTTCCTCCTCCCTTTCTTGTGCTAATTGGGTGTCAAGCTGAGATCAGTGAGAAAGAAATCTTCCCCGGCTCGGGTTAAACTGCCGCCAAAGACCCGGGCTGGGCCCAGAATATCATTAGGAGGGGAGGAAACAGGGCCCCCTCCTCGGGGGGGAGGGGCCAGCCGCTCATTCAGGCCCCTTTGAAAGTCACTCGGTCGCCCCCTCCCTCGCCGCCGTCGCTTCAATGGGCCCCTCGGAGGTATTTAACCTTCTTCCCAGGAATTGAAAGCGATACGCCAAGCACTAGCCTGGGCGGCCACTTGCCTGTCCCGAGGGCGGTAGGACCTCCCGGGAGGCTCGAGGCAGGCCCTTTGCAGCCTCCCCGGCGCAGGTTGCAGATGGCAACACCGAGGCTCCCGCAGAGACTTTGCATCTCCGAGCCTCGGATTCCTCACCTGTGCAACGGAGGTCAAAATAGCAGCTACTTTGTGTTGAGTTTAATGAAACAACGCACGTGGAACGCCCCGCGCAGCGCCTGGCACGCAGGAAGTGCCCCCACATGGTGGCCATGACAAGTCTGAGGAAGCGGTTTGGCTTCCTTCAAGGTTCTCCTAGCGGGGCTCCCAAGCCTCTGGAGGTGTGCAAGTGCCAGTGCCCGCACTGATCTCCCGTTTCAGATCCAGCTTCAACTCTACAAGCACCCCCCCCCGTCACCCCCTCCCCCACCCCACCCCCCAGCCTCACTGCACTTCTGCAACCTGCCTGGCTGGCCGTTCACCTCCAGGCCTTTACCCTTTGCTGCTCCTTCGGGCTGGAACACACTTCCCCCGCGATTATCCGAGCTCTTCTTTGAAAAGTCTCTCTGACCGGGAAACACGACCCCTTCAGCCCCATTCCTACACCCCGGGCACGGGCTAGGACGCCAGGCGTGGTGCAGCTGAGTACACAGCCTTTGCTTCTTCACTGCTAGGCCCCCCTGCCCAGCCCCCAGGCCATAGATCTAGGGCCTGGGTCTCTAGCTTGCTCCCAGGGACCCCCCTCACCTCCCCCCCCCCCCCCCCGCCCCGCACAGACGCCTTTTAGAATCTGCTCCCCAGATGAAACTACACGGTGCTTTGTAAATAGTGAAGCACTATATAAATGTCAGGAAGTGCCCAATGAACATTGTTAACATCACAAGCACGTTTTGAGCACCTACTGTGTGCATGGAGACAACTCACACAGCCATGGCTTGGATGACGCTGCAAGGCCCAGAGGCCCACCAGCTCTACCCCTTCACGGAGGGGCTGATGGGGAAGTG